TTAATTTTATTTTGTTTTTTAAGTCATATACGTAAATATCAAATTTATTGTTTTAGTGTGGTTTCTTTATCTTGCAACTACAAAGGCATAATAACATTTATAAAATAGGTCAGCTGATTTTGAAATGGCGGAAGCATCTACCATACGTGCGCACACAAAAGAAAATGTTTCTAAATTAGTTTTTAAATGTTATCTAAGGTAAATGATAACAACTCAAGTAGGATACATTTATGCGCCTGTTAAGATTATTTGCGTACTTTCGCTTAGTTTATCAACTCTTTGTCTCTGACGCTTATCACAAACACACGCATATGTGGGCTTGCTTTTTTCATTTTTTTGGCACCCCAAAGTAGATCATATGATGCAGTTTTAGTATTGCCATAAACAAATTTTGTGACACCTTATTCATCTAAATAGCTTGTTAACTAGATTTGCTATATTGGTACTAACTTTCACTGATGTTATTGTTTATGACGAGGAGTTTAGGTGTGATTTATAGTACTGTCAAATCTTTGTTGATAATTTGCCGAACATTGCKGAACAATCTGCTCAGTCGAAATACCAGCATAGTGCTTAATATAAGTTATGAACTGAAAAAAAACGTTTATATTTAGGTATATGAAGCGCGAGTGACGGCTACAAATAGTTAGCGGTTTTTTATACTCTCGCAACAAAGTTGCTAAAGAGAGTATTACAGTTTTGTTCACATAACGGTTGTTTGTAAGTAAAAATTGAGATATCATGATGAAACTTGGTACACGTATTTCTTGGCTCCATAAGAAGGTTAAGTTCGAAGATGGGCAAAATCGGCCCACTGCCACGCCCACAAAATGGCGGAAACCGAAAACCTATAAAATGTCATAACTAAGCGGTAAATAAAGATATTAAAATGAAATTTGGCACAAAGGATCGCACTAGGGAGGGGCATATTTGGACGTAATTTTTTTTGAAAAAGCGGTCTCTTATACACATCTAGATGTGTATAAGAGGGAGGGGCATATTTGGACGTAATTTTTTTGAAAAAGTGGGCGTGGCCCCGGCCCCTACTAACTTTTTTGTACATATCTCGAAAACTACTATAGCTATGTCAACCAAACTGTATAGAGTCGTTTCTTTTAGGCATTTCCATATACAGTTCAAAAATGGAAGAAGTGGGACAATAATCACGCCCACCTCCCATACAAAGGTTATGTTGAAAATCACTAAAAGTGCGTTAACCGACTAACATAAAACGTCAGAAGCACTAAATTTTACGGAAGAAATGTCAGAAGGAAGCTGCATCCAGGTTTTTTTAAAGATTGAAAATATATCTCAGGAAGTACTCAACCGATTTCAATGAAATTCGGTATATAATATTTTCTTAACACCGTAATGACATGTACCACGCCTGAAATCTCGATTATCACTTTATCATGCGAGAGTATAAAATGTTCGGTGACACCCGAACTTAGCCCTTCCTTACTTGTTTTTTTTATAAAAAACTGAATTGCGACCTTCCTGATATTTTTTGTGCAAACATCACTTTTAACGTACAACTGTTGATTATTTAATAATTTCAAAATACATCCTTCCGAATGACCGAGCAAAGCAGAGAAATTTGAGAGCGCATCACATTTCCGTTTGTTGAGAAACATGGTTGCCAGAAAGAAAAAATCACGAATAATAATTTAGCAATAATTGTCAATGAGTTATAATTTCATAGGTTGAAATGCTAAGTTATTTTCGAAATTGCTCATATCTGTGAAATGAATAATTTTCCTTATCACCGCAAACATTTATTTTACGAAAACATTATAATCACTACCCCCAMACGTTAATAATTTTAAAATAAATAGTTAGTTTACTCACGCATACTTCACATTTATGACAATTGCCTTCGAAAGCACTTTTRCACTACATTTTATCTTTACAAATAAACCATAAACGCGATTTATATGTTACACTCAGAGTTCGCATTGTTTTCAAAATCTTATCATCTTATCGTTTAGATATGATAAATACGGTATTTGTTGTTATACAGCATAAGGTATGGTTTCCGCGATAAGCTTCTACATTACTTAGTCAATGGCCCATGGCACTTCGTGCAAATTCAATGCCAAAAAAGAAACAACTCCGATAAATGTCATCCATCACCGTCGTCCATTAAATAATTAATTGCAAAAAGTATTGTGAACGTTAAAATTACTCACTTAGTTATGTGCATTCGTGTTTAGAGCGTTTGTTCGAACGTTTGCTGAAGTCGTAGGTGCGTCCGGCCAGCTGGCAGTAGTAGTTCTATAGAAAGCCTAGAAATTGCAACGAGTTGATATGTGCATAGGCAACACAAAAATAGGTGAATAATTGAAAATACATCAAATATTAAAAAACAAAAAACTACGGTTTAATTGAGCGAACTAYGAGCGTTTCGCAATGGCAACAATGGGAATTTCTAATAAAAACTACGATAACCTAGYAGCACKTCCAATGCCGGTTTGCCGGTTCACCGAGACAACTCGAATTTTCAATGTGCYATTTTATTGTCTTATTTTCGTCGTTTAARCGATGTCTGTGTTGTTTATGCAACAACGCGACGTCGATGCGACGCGTGTCTGTRTTGGCGCGGAATCATCAGGTGTTTTTCATTGCCCAGTTGCCGGTTTGASGTTCTTGCTGCCRCATTGCAATTTGGCGCGCTGTTCACTTTGTTGTTTGATTCTTGTAAAATAGTTGTGTATAACCGCAGACATATGATTTATTGTTGTTGTGCTGCATAGTTATTTAAAATCCATAAATTGTTATTAATTGAAAGTAAGGAATGGAAATTTTTTCGAAGAAGCATTGCAATAAAGAAAGCTTGTGCTTTGACAGACGTGAATGTTACGTATACGCAGTGTACATAAGTCTGCCGTTTGGGGTGGACCATGACACCGGCTAGCAAAAGTGAAATGCAAGCAAATTTTAATTTTAGATAACCTCGAAAAAAATATATCTATTTATTTATCTGGCGACTAAAAATCCACAATATTATCAACAGAGAAACCTTAGAATCAGCGTATTTTTTTTAATTAACTTCCGTGTTATCTTTGCTTTATGAAAAAGAAAAACGAAAAATGACATATAAATGATAAGAAACAAGTGGGGCTGCGCACGTTTACCAACACCTAGTGACCTTAAAAAGCTTAGTGTGGTTTATTAATTGATCAAGTTGTAAATAAAGGTAAGAAGAAAGCATTACAGACGTGAAGCCTATGGAAATACTAAAAAAAGGTTGCTTGAGTTATTGTGATTTTAGTTCCTCGGAAAAATAAGTACTGAGTTAATAAACAAAATAAATCGAAACTATACAATGTGAAATTTAAGTAAAATAAAGTTTATAAAAAGCGATCGTTCAGGGTATCTAATTGAGTTCAATACTGTATATATCTGTTATATAGGGAATTCGTTGAACAATAGTTCCGCTATTCTCTCTAATTGAGGATCTTCACGAAATTGGTTTGTATTACAAATTTTCTGTGCAATCTTCTCATGGGATAATCACAACTTATTCTCCAAACTGTTCAAATCTCCCGAAAATGGACAAAAAATAAACACAATTGCCTTGCTTATTGTCATCAGTGTTAGTCATCGTGCTACAAAAGCTATTTTTATAACCTGTATAGTGTATATTAAATTTTGCTCGAAATTTGAAACACTGCAGGAAACGTCGACGACCCAATTATATGTATATATAATATATTGCATTTATATAATGAAATTTTGCACACGCTCTCCCCAAAAAGCTGCACATTTGTCAGAATCGCCTATATCGGATCAATGCAGCATATGTATAAGAAATGTGAAGCCGAAGTTAACGTTTTTTCTTGTTTTACTGCACACTAGCTTCCCATATATCACAGCGGAGCTAAAATTATAAACCAGTTGTGACTAATGACATTCCACATACTTTAAATACACGGATGTAAGTGACTTAAAATATGAAATCGCAGTACTATGTAGTATTATAATACTTCAAACACGGTGTACTAGCACCTTCAGCTATCTTCAGTTTCACGACTATACAGTCATTTACAGCCACTCACGTGCCATACTCTTATAAKCCTATCTTTAGTTGCTGGATAAATGAATAATTCAAACACAGTGTTATATTTGGCGTCMTTTTCAACGCAAGCACTTTAATAATAGATAATAAAAATTAATATTTTATTACYTTTTTAAAGCGAGCGTAATCAAAACACGCTTGGAAAATAAGTACTTAATCTCGCATTTAGATAGAACACCTCTATATAGTATATATTTGTTTAATTTAATCGGTATTACAATCAGACAACATTGAAACAGTTATTGTTGTTGTTATTAAAACAAAAAAAAAACGTATATTTGCTAATAGATAACTAGCCGCACGCCAGGGAGTGTGATCTAGTCAGTTGGTAAATACAAATAAGACGCGCCTCGGCATTGACGTTTCTGTCGGCGTTGACTGTCATTATTGTACGTGCAAACATACTTAGTTATTGAGTGAATTTATAATAGCACTTCACTTGAGCAATTCAATTGATAAACGAGCTATCAACGAGCAACGCGCACATAAATACAAATTACATTGTGGAAGTGGCGCGTAAGGTAGGGCCAATTGGTCACGTTAATGCCTTGGACACTTTCTATGCGGTTTTATCCTACTTTGCGACGACTTAGTGGTGTCATCGAACAGTAAACCCCCAATCAAGTAGATGTGTATATAGTTAGCTGTAATCTCCGACGGCTGTTCACGCATACACACTCATATAGCTAAGAACCGGTGTAAATAAATACAAAAATAAACATAACGTGCCACGAAATGCGCATAAATAAACAAAACAACTACTCTTGCCGGCATTTATAACGAAATAACTGTTATATAAATAAAAAATAACAATATTTGCTATTAAATTACTCCTTGTTATAATATTTTATTGTGATTAAACATTGTTTTTATTGTTTTTTCGCTCTCAAATAATTTTTTCGCTGTAAAATTTCATTTGCAGTTCTTGGCTACTTACAATTGATATTTCCTTTGTGAACGTGTGACCAATAAAATTCGCCATCACGTCGCAGTACGCACTTTTAACCGTTAAACACATTATTTGTGTCTACAAGGTGAAGAAAAAATTCAGCGAACCAGTGAACAATACGTAGAATACACGCGACCACAAGCATTCAGCATAGCGGAGAAACAACCAGCGTCGAGTGTCATCACTAGTCATASCCGCATACGCCCTGTAGTACAACTGCAACGACGCTCCAATACACGGCACACGCCACACACACACACACGACATACATATATAGACGCCAAAACACGCACGCACCCACACAAGATGCCAGTTCAATCTCCTATTGCAATCAGCAATCGCGCTATTGAACATATCGACGATGTCGATCCGCTGGAATATCATGGCCATTGGGAGCCAGTGGGCATTGCACGCGTCCAAAACACCGGCACCTCGGCAATGGTGACATTCGCCAAACGCCAACAACAGCCATACATAAAGGGCGGTTGCTTGCATGACAACAAATATATATTTGAGCAGCTACATTTCCACTGGGCGGACACGGACGAGTCRGGCTGTGAGCACACGCTAGAGGGTGTGAAATACTCGATGGAGGCGCATGCCGTACACTACAATGCCAAGTATAAGAATTTYGCTGAGGCCAAGAATAAACCGGACGGTTTGGCGGTGGTGGCTTTTTTTATACAGGCGTGCGGTGACAAGGATTGTCCAGAGTTCAAAAAGATCACTGAAGGCATACGCATCGTGCAGAAGATAAATACAAGCGCTTCGTTGGATTCGGGTTAGTAGCACACACCCATTATTTGCATACGTGCATTTTTGTTTCTAACAGTTGAATTTATTGTTTTTTCACAGATTGCTTGTCCTGGATTGGTTTGCAGGAGCTAAGCAAACATTATTACACATACAAAGGCTCGTTGACTACGGCGCCGTACTTTGAGAGTGTCACTTGGATCATCTATCGTACGCCGATATACGTCTCTAAGGGGCAGGTGAGCATGCGGAATGAACGTAGTGTTGTTTTAGTGGAAGTGTGATTGGGGTAGTGCTCTAGACACCACAATTAGTTTTTTGGCAAGCTTATGTGTATTAACAGCAATACTAATTTGCAACAGTCTAAAACAAAAACTTTATAACAAAATTTCTCCACAAAAGTCTCCAAAAAACTTAAGAAAATTTCCCCATAAAAGTCTCCAGAAAACCTAACAAAATTTCTCCAAAAAAGTCTCCAAAGTTTTCGGATTTTTAACCACCAGACTTCCCATATAACGGTAGTAGGAGTACAATAAACCTGTAAAGAATGTCGTTAGAAAGGTAAAATTTTGATCAGCGTCAAAATTCCAATGTGGGCATGGCACCGTCGACTTAGAAATACATATATAAAAGTTTTCACTTAATAAAATGCCAGAGTACCAAAGTTTCGAAATTTGGCCTAGTATTTTTTTGAAAAACATTTTTTTATTTTTTTCGAAGATCCCACTTCGACTATAGAATCATAAAAGCCTAACAGAAAAGTATATACCATTGAAATAAAAGAAAAACGTAGAATATGGCTATTTTTTATTTTTATTTATTTATTATTATTATTTTTTTGTTTTTTTAATGAAGAACGAATTTTTCACTAAACACAAATTCCAACTTCGAAATCAAATATTTCGACATTGAAGGTTAACTTCGAAAAACGGTGACATTAAGTTTGTACTGTTAATTTAATCACCCGAAAAAATTGGTACCCGAAAAAATGTCCATTTTGTAGTATAGCGTAATGTACTATATCAAAAACATATTCAAACATACCTCTTTAGTGTATACTTTTCTATAGTCTTTTCAATTTCATTGCAAATTTTTCTTTTCGAAATTATAACATTTTTCGATTTCTTTGGTATTTTCCAGGTGCAAGTATTTCGCGATCTACAATCATGTCCGAAGGATGAGAGCAAGAAGATAGTAAACAATTACCGCGAAATTCAACAGCCACATAAAGATCCGGAAATCTACTTCGCGCGCAATGCCAAACCAAAGTCGAAATTATGATCTGTTGCTAGGCAGCAAGATTAGATGGACAAACATGAACACACGCACCTTTACGTATATATCACAAGCCGACAAAGCAGACGGAATTGAAGTGTTAAACAAAATACATAGCTTAGCAGGTCACTTCTCACACGCAAATATAATTTTACTATGCACGCCTGTAGTTGCAGTTAGGTTGGCACTTTCTATGTACATCCAACGCTCACACAGGCCTATAGAACGCAGTGTGCCTAAATGTACAAACACCGGCGCACTGGACTATTGAACTTAGCTCTGTCACTGTATTTTATTGAACACGTTATTACACATATACCCACTTTGGTATATACCATGTACGCATATTTGTAATAATCACCGTTATAACTAAACGCCAGCGTTTACAACCACCAGCGTTTACATTCTGCACGCTTACGAGTTATCGTTTATCGGTTGTTGTATAACTAAATTCTTTTTACTAATAAATTATGTGATTTATGGTTGCAAGACAAGGCGCTCATCGTGTGTTATCTCCGGGTATTACTTACCTCCAACTCTAAAATACTGATAAAAATTTTCCTAAATAATAGTATATGCTACATTTATTTAATTTTATTATATTTATATAACTTGTGTAGGGTCTACATATGTATATCGATACATACATATATATGTGTAGAAGCAAGCAAAAGGCTCTAAAAAAACAAGAAACAAAAAATCATTCCTCATAGTTAAGGATTTGCAATATGGAATTTTGTTAGAATTAATCTTTGTTTTATTAAATGTATGTGTATATGTGACATACCATTTTATCACTGTTTGTATGTAATATATAAAGCTTGTTACGAGGAATTGTCATATTTTTATATTCTAAAGACAAATAAGCAAATGATTTGTGCCGTTAGTACATAAATATATTTCCAAGAAATATAGATAAATGCTAAAGAAAATATTTAATATTACATAAATATTAATGTATGTAAGAGTGGTGTATTTAATAGGGTGGTTAAAAACGCGTTATATATTCAGACGTACCAGAGAGAACGAGTGGGTTCCCTTATTTGCCGACTCAAGGGAACCCCTAGTATGATTACCTTAAAAAAGAGGATTTTTAGGATTTTTTGCTGAAGAAAACTAAATTGTTAAACCTTATCAAGTTGAAAAGTGTCCATACAAAAACAAAATTGGAAATAATATGCTGTAGTGGTTCGATRKCGGCACATGATCAGCGTCTTGGGGAGAAAAGGACGTGTTCAGAACGATATCTCAAAACTAAGAGACTAGTTCGCTATTGAACTGATCGATAACTGAAATAAATTTGTAAATAAAGAAATCAGTTTTCTTTATTCATTTAGCACCGACTTCCATCGCCTTTGAAATTTGTCGATCTTGAAGTTCACTTGACATTGTGACTTCACTATTAAGACATTTTTTATCATCAACTTCCTCCCTTCATTTAAACAGTAAGCATTTGAGGTTTCAACTTTTTCTCGATTAAAACACATTTCCAATACACATACATACTTATATACTAATTCATAGCCATTTATATCAAATATTTAAGTTAATTATAAAATTTGCTGGTATTTCCAATTTATTAGCGCAAACAAAATAAATAAAATTACTTAAAAAAAAACAACAGTACACAAGAAAATAAAAGTTAAACCTACATGGCGCTGAACAGTTTCATAAATGCATTCTCACCGCCCTCCTCGGTGTCCACAGAGCATCACGAAGAAGGAGGCGAGCGGCCGGGACTCTTCGTGCACAATCGGCGCATAGTCTTGGAGTTGGTCAATAAAATATTCGACAATAAACGCGGCAATGTGGAATTGTCCTCGTCACATTGCTCCAGCATTGCGAAGAAGCCTTCCGAATATAGCTATGACAACCGGCTAAAATACTGGAAGGATATGTTGGAGCAGCGTAAGCTTCTACAGGCGAATATACAGGAGAAAACGGGTAAGACACCGGCGCAGGTACTCTTCAATCGCGCAGTCACCGTTGATGAACGTGACAAGCAAACGGTGCGTCGCTTAATGGATTACGCCGAACGCTTGAATCCGTTGACTGTAATGCAACGACAGGAAGCCATCTTGCCGGAATATATTGACTGTAGCACGTGCCAACATGTACACGAAATACGTGAGACTTTGCCGAAGGCAGAGCGCGATGGCGAGAAGGTAGTCGAGATCAGCGGTTTGCCGTTGGTAACAAAGGAAGAGCTGTTGGGTAAACCGAAAGAACAGGGCGGACACAAAAAGTCCGATTGGCTTAGATCGAAAGTGTTGGAGGAGCACATCGAACGAAAACGCGAGGACATAGAACGTGTAATTGAATTTTATCCGGACATTGACAAACTGCAGATTGTCGGCGAGAGTTTCAGCAAGATGAACACGTTGCGCCACAACGCAGATATACAATATATAGGTGAAGAAAAAATACATCTCATCTCACAAGACTCGTCTATTTGTGAACCAACTGCGCCGGCGGCATCCACTTCGGAGCCACCGCCACAACCCGAATACAGTGTGCGGATTAACGATCATATTTTCCAACTAACCGAGAAGCGAAGCTCCAAATATGTTGAGCTTGAGGTGCGCTTCGAGTGTGAACCCTTCGAGAAGGTTGTTAAGCGCGTTCTACATCTGGAGAATTTGGGCAAGCGGGTGTTGGGCTTCGAATGGGTGCATCGTCCGTATTTCGAGAAAAATGCCGGTCTACTAAAAGCCTACGATGACGAATTCCTCTTCCAACATAAACCGTTTCGCCTGACATCGGGCGAGAGCATGGATGTGGTTGTGCAGTTTCAACCACGCYGCGCCGACATCACGAAACAAAAGTGGATGCTAAAAATCGATCCGCAATTTTTCTGTCGCAAAGTGGATGCTGTTGTGGTGCGTTTGAGCGGTAAGTGCAAACCGGCGCCGGAGTATATTGCCAAAATACGAGCTGTACAAACGGAGGTCTTGAACAAATCGAATACGACGATGGTGCGTCAAATCACTACACGCTTAGCCTCACTCACACCGCTTATTAAATTGCCCGCAGTGATTTGCCCCTACAAGCGTACACTCACCGAACTGGAGCTATTCGAATTTTACAATCCTGGCTATCGCTGCGAACGCTATCACGACATTCAACTGCTTAAGGAGCTGTATGAACGTTTAAAGAAGCCACGCGAGCCTGCTTGGGACCTGAGCATTGAATCTTTGAAAGCCATAATCCTGCAGCAGGAGAGCGCCGATAAGCGTGCCTTGTACTTTGTGGAGATGATTAGCATTTTAGAGGAGATGCGTGGCAGGCCACCCATAGATTTTGATGAGAAAATACTTGATAATACGGAACGTGAGCACACATGTTATGTGTATGTGCGTGGTATTATCTCAACGGGCATCGATGAGTGGGAAGAGTTGACGCTCACCATCGAGGAAGCCTTCTTAAAGGCGGCATGGAAGGAGTACATAGACAATTACTCTAAGGCGTCAGAGGAGGGTGCGGGTGGCGATGCTGAGCATATAGAGATGCTACTAAATGAATTCGACGAAGAAGAAATCAAAATGTGGCTGGCTAAAGAGTTGCGTCATCGCAAGCCGTTCCGCGACACRCTCTACATGCAAACCTACACACATGTGTGCAATTTTATTGAGGACATTGTCTCGGTTATCGAGAGCACAGACATCGTTTAAGCTATTCGGAGTTTTTTATGTGGACACAATCTTAAAATACCAATAATCTAGTGGTTAACTACTCGAATGTGGCTCAAATACACTTGCGATCCTTATATACATATATGTATATGAGAGTTGCGTAGGCGACGAAATTCTAAGATTATTTTTATAATTTTATGTATATTTTACTTGTGTATACATATGTACATATATAATAAAGAGGGGGAAATTTTGCATTTCAATTCATAATATTTGTTTTTTATTGCATTTTGAATTTTACAATTACACAAATAATAGTAATGCAGATAATAATTTTCCATTAATAAATTTATATTGGTTAATATCTTTATAACATATTATTTGGTATTCATCACAAAGTGGCTTGAAAAATGTTCGCCATGGAGTATTATCGTGTGCGCAATCAATTAAGAAATGCCTATTTTAAATTCGAATTTAGAGATCATTTAGCCTTTTTTTACTTTAAATCTTGCTAAGTCGTTGTATAATATTTTCAATAAACCATTTGCTTGTCATTTGCAAATGATCGCCCTCAACGGACAGATAAATGAGTCTGCCATCTTCATCCAATTGTTTGAGCCCAAGCTGAAAAAGTTAAGGCAAATAATAAAAAAAAAATGTTAGACAAAAAAGCTTTTAAGCTTACATCAACAAACACGGGACTCTCGTTTAGAGGACGAATAATCGTATCTTGTCCAGGACTGTAAAAACCGAACCATTGCGATTCCTTAGGTTGTACGATAGTATCATTCAAGAACATAACCATTACAAATCTGCAATAATACTCAAACATTAATTTTATATAAAAGATTTTTCAATACATTTAGTACACACTTCTCAAGCTTATTTAAATTGTCTATATAAGTTTGATTGATAAACACTTCATTGTTTATATTTGAAAGAAATGAACTTTTTTGGCGATATTCCTCTTCATGCAATGGGTCATGCCAATATGTAGCTTGCACAAAATCACGCTGCATCCACCTGTTTAAATAAAGACTAAATTGAAAAACAAATCAAACAAAATTTTTTAACGACTAACTCTTTGTAAGCAGCGCGACGCAATAACTTCCGCAAATGTTCACATGTATTACTGGTCAATGAGGGACATTTTGGCAAGCCGAAGACACCTTGGTGCTGTCCGCCTAATGTAATGAGCGTTTTCATAGGTGGCGTGGAGCAGCGCTGGGCCACGGCACGCCTGTATTATTTGAAATATAATACATATATAAATAGAAATAAAATATTGCTTGGGTTTTAATACTTACAAAAATTGACCGCCTTGTGAGAAGCCGATAGCATTATAGCCGTTTGTTAGTTGCGTATCCTTAGCCAACTGCTCACACACATAACGCACTTGATCGTCGGGATGTATGAAGAAACCACTTTCATAATCCAGCGCAATATTGCCACCAATTTTCAATGACCGCACGTATGTGTCATTTGTTTCCGCTTGAATTAATTTCTTTATGGCACCCAAGCTGAATGGAAGACAGCAAGTATCACCTAGAAATATGTGTTGAGTTAATTATTGATTACTTTGTATGCAAGCGACCCACTTACCCATTCCATGCCAAAGTACAACCGGTAATGTATCGGAAGCAGCTAGAATGCTACTGCTGAATAGCAAGATAATCAAGCTTTTTATTATAAACATTATTTTCAATTATTTCTTTGGAGTATTAAAAAGTGGACATCACTTCTCGTAAAAGATATCGCAGTAATTAAAGTCTATGAAATCCAAACAAAGAAATTGGTTTCTAATCACAGCTGTAAACATAATCAATTTGTAATAGAAACATAAGCAATATGTAGGGTTGCATTTTCCCGGCGTATTTCATATCAATTTTGACGTAAATTTTTTAAAATATGTTATTTTTTTAAATCAATAGCACTAAGAATTATTTCAGCTTTTTCGGGTTTAAAGTTTTGAATTTTAATAGCGGTAAATTCAA